GTTTTCGTCGTCGCTCTGTTAGTACGTCATATGCTTCGTTGATCTGATTGGTTTATTTGGCCCGTCTATCACCAACATTGGCCAATCAGCTAACCAGTATTTTCGCCCCTTCCCAAAATTACTGCAACAGAAGGTTTCCAGATGGATATGCGGAGCAAATCCATCTGGCGGAGTCAGGTTAGCTAAAGATCACAGCACAGCTGTAGTTCAGAGTGTGCATCCAAGGCTGCACCACATGTCCTGCCCCCCCCACATGCCCACATCCGACCAAAAATGGTCCATGCAAAGCGCTGCATCAACGTCAGTGTGTTTTTAAAAAAGCAGTGTGAGAAATGTTCCTGCATCTCTACCATGGCAGCAGCAGAGAAGGGAGCGAAACGTTCAGCAGAGGCAGAAAGAATGAGGCAGAGAGTCAGATAAAGATGTTTGGTAGCCACCAGAAATAAAAGCAAGTATTATTAATGAGTTTCATAAGTGAACTGATCATGTTAACAAGGACAGCATTGCGCTCATCACTGTGATAGCTCAGCTTCATGGATCATTTCATAGAATCCAATTGTTCCTAATAGCAGCTTCAGGCAGATAGTTAATTCTTGATTATGCTGAATTATCACTGGTAAGCTGTTTCTCAAAAACCCCAGACTGGATAAAAGCTGCATTTAATAAAAAAAAAAAAAAAAAAAAGTTGAAATCATGAAAAGCAGCTCACCTTTCTTTAACATGTAATATGTTGTGATTTTGTGACATTGTTATTACGGTATATTTAGATGTTTTCTAACCTTCGTCTACACAGGCTTTATAAATGAGACCCCTGGAAAACCGCCGTTCTGTCAGATGAGCATACCCCATCAGACCAGCATACCTATAATCAATACGCATGCACAAGATGTCAGATTTGCATTTATCCCTTTAGTTTTGTACAAAAAATAGACTTTAAACTACTTCAACGGGCGTGTAGCCCTTTAGTCATGTACAAATATATATATATATTTAAGGTCAGATCGCCATATGCTTCACAGAATACCAAAAGGTAAGTAATTAAATTATTTTTTTGCACATGACTAATGGCATACACGCCCGTTGAGGTAGTTAAAAGTCCATGTTTCATACAAAACTAAAGGGATAAGCGGGTATTGACTGTAGGTATGCTAATCTGACAGAACAGTGGCTTTTTTAGCCATTAAGTTAAATCAAACAGACACTGAGGGCCCATAAGGGTTTCACTTTGCACCCCCACTGCAGGTCTTACCTGCCACCAAACACAATCACAGGACAGTCTGAGGCCTCCAGCTGCTGTTTCAGCTCGGTGATCATCAGGGCATAGTCAGCGAGGGCCTGCTCCACGGTGAGGAGGCTCACCTGAGGGATCTTGAAGGAGTCGTTGCCAAATGGCAGAGATTTGCCATAGTACCTCTGAAAAAGAAGAGCAGATGCACACTTAGTTAAACCATATTCCATCAGCTACAGATTGAAGGACATTTCTGGAAAATATTTGGGCACTTTTACTGCAGATGTGGAATTTTACATATTTCATTTTACCGGAATAATATAAAAAACATATATAACGCCAATTCACAACATGTCATCTCAAGGCATTTTACAATTCCACCAGATCATCCAGTCAAATTGATTCAAAGTTTTCTATCTAAGGAAAACCAGTTGATTGCATCGACTCATTGACTCGAGTGCAATCCCTCACACTAAGCATGCTTGTAGTGACAGTGGAGAGGAAAAACTCCCTTTGAACAGGATAAACCAGACGCGGTTTGAGTGGCCATCTGCCGAGGCAGACTGGGGGCCAGTCTGTGTTTAGTTAACACACCACAAGTCAACTGAGAAGTTCAGATTTTTTTTTTTGCCTCGGCTGAATTTTGTTTTGCTCTCTGTGTTCACTGTGCTGGAACCAGCCACGCTGCTTCACCCTGATCGCCAAATATGTTCTTAATCCTACATGCATTACATAGAAAATAACTAGCTCCAGATGCCACTGGAGCTAGCTGGAGTTTTATGTGCATCTACACGTACCTAGGGACTTTCATGATGTGGGATGTCAGGGGCACGGTTCTATTTCTTTTGCATGTGATCTTCCTTAACACTGGAACAGTCATTTGGGTCTGGCTGTTGAGGAGAAGCTGTAGAGTCCCGGCATAGCTACTTAGCACAGACCATCAGGCCTCTGGACCTGGTGCCTTATTTCCAACTCTCTAGTTCCCTCGCTACCTGACTTCTAGAGACATTGAGGCCTATGGGGGAGGAAAAGAGGAAAGGAAATCTCATATAGACAGAGCTGCAAGATGAAACACTGGAGGTGTAACGGGGAATGTTTGAGTCGAGGGAGGACAGGATGACAGTTCAACTAGGGCTGAAACAATCGTAAATAATCGATTATTGAAATCATCGTCAACCCATTTAGTAATTGATTAATCATTAACTGAAGTATAGACTCTAAAACATGTCTTTAGCTGACAGAGTAAACCAATTAGAGAAGCAATTATGCCAAAATGTTTTCAAAAAATATGTAAACAAAATCTCAGAATCTTCAATAATTGTTGTTGATTGCAGATGTGTCTAGTAGTTCCCATTGATTTTGAATCCAGTGTAATGGCGCTAGGCTTACCTCTGGCAGGAGGGAGGTGTTACTATATTTGGGCAAAAATGGCTGCTCACTGTGATTGTGATGAAAATTATTTTTATTTTTTTACTGATTAACACCAAATTCATTAAATCACCGCAAACGTATTAGTTTTAGGTATAGATAATGATCCATTGCTTATTCCTTGCTGACCGCACTTTTCCTTTGAAGGGATTCGGTTTAAAACGGCTTCAGTTTTTCCCCAAAGTAAAATTGCTTTGGATAGTCTAGTAGACAGTGTTTTATTTTAGAAATGGGAACATTATTGATGATTTTCAGGTTGTTTCTGGGTTTTCTAACCAATATTAATTTTATTAATACTTTATTATAAACATATTCTAGTTCCCTTGTTTGTTTTTTTTTTAACATTACATGGTTTTAATTAGTGAAGTGATAGCTGGTATTATCCACTTTGCCATTTTGAAATGTTTTTTAGATCCAAATATTTTAAAGAAACATGGAAGAAACAGAAAGCTCTCCCTGTCTCCTTTTCCCACTGGCTGTTAGCAACACATTAAGTCATATTCAGCTCACTCCATCCACTGTATCCTGATTCTGGGCGGTTTTGCAGACCTATAACAGATGTTTGAGCAAGTTCACCTGATTGTAACTGGTGAATATGAAGGCTGAAATCCTCTGACCCTGAGCGGAGAGAAATCCAGGTTTTTGTTTATCACCAGCTGCAGCTCACTTAAAGACAAAGCAGCTGGCTCGGAGCTTGTCTGTCTGGTTGTGTGTTTCCTGAATGGAGCCGCCTGTGGAGCTGGTTGACAGTTGTCGTTCGTATCTCTGCCTCTTTCTGTATCTCTGCTTCTGTCTCCTTGAACCCCAGTCGGCATCAGCAGATGGCCGCTCACACTGAGCTTGGTTCTGCTGGAGGTTTCTTCCTCTTAAAAAGGGAGTTTTTTCTCTCCACTGTCGCTAAAAGCACGCTTAGTGTGAGGGATTGTCTTAGAGTCAATGCAATCGATTTGGATCAGTTTGACTTTATGATCTGATTGAATTGTATTTATAAAGTGCCTTGATATGACATGTGTTGTGAATTGTTGCTATAGAAATAATATTAATAAGACTAAGGCAGAAAAAAAACTGCTTTAGACGGAGACACCATCTGAGATTCATTATAGAGACCTGCTGACCTTCCACCCTCTCACCATGAGGGTGTTTTAGTTGACATGTGTGAACCAAGCAGTTTTCCTTGTAGTGCCTGAAGATCATCTGACCAGTGCGTCCGACTGGGACGGGTTTCCTTACATGTTCAGCAAAAATGACCAGCGCCTGCTGCTGAGCGGCCAGCTCCATGATGAACCCAGAGTTCAGGGCGAACTCCCAGATGTCACCTTCATTTCCAGTGTAGAAGAAGATGGGGCCATAGCCTTTCTTCCAGTACTGGTCTAGAGGAGAGAAGAGCAGAACCACGTCAATCATTTACTGTTGAATTTATTCCATTACAGCAGGAAGATGCCTGTACCCGTGATCAGGAATCGCTGGCTGAACGTCCCGTTGCCCATGCTGTTAAAGTTGAAGTGATCCAAGGTCTGAGTGAAGTACTTCTCAGTGAATGGGGGGTCTGATGAAGCTGGGGGCTTTCTAGCCTGTGAGGATGAGAAAGATGCACCAGATGTTTAGGAGAAAATGCTGCATGATGATGGTCTGTTCAACACCAAATAACTGAGTGATTGGATGTTCATTGACCTTTGAGAACAAGAGGCAGGTAACATTTTAAATAACTCTAATCATGGATCAAACATTCAAAAATCACATAAAACGCTTTTTATCTGAAGGCTCCAAAGCAAAACAGACCCAATACTGGCTCAAACACCAAACCCCCCCTGAGGAGCTGTGATTTCCCAGCAAGCATTAAACACCACAGAGAGTGAAGTGAAACATTACCTGAAAGTCGCCGCGTGGCAAGCCATGAAGAGCGTCAGAAAACAGGGCGACTGTCAGCGTGAAAAGACTCAGTCCGGCTCTCATGTTTCAGCCTAAACACACCAACACTTACACCGCGCTCGGTTCGACTGTTACTTTGACAAGCGCCTGCGCAAAACACTCCTATCATATGACTCCTATCACCTGACTGCTGTCACGTGATTTCAGTCACTCTCCGGTGTGTTCAGGTGAAGCTCGGAAGATTTGTATGAAGGTAAATATGTGCCAAAATGAACGAACTTGTGAATTTAATGTGAAAACTTGAGAATGCAATGTGAGAATTTGTACCACAAAAATCTGAACTTGTATGCCAAAATGTTCTGCTGTAAAGAAAAACCGCACACACACAAACTGAATTTGAAGTTGCACTAAAAGAAATATCAGGCAAGAACATGTAAAAAAAAAATTACACTTGTCAGTCCAATCTTCACCTGAAGAG